TAATCTAGGTCCTCTGATTCCAAAACTAAGTCTCTCTACTATAACTCTTACCAATTACTTGAAGGTGGATAATATATACCCTTTAAGACTTTTCTTTCCAGCTCTTTCCCCTCATCCTCACCCAGAACTAACTAGAGGAAGGTCCTTTACCCTTCAGGTTGCCCTCTCCATGAATTCTCTGGTTTACCTATGTCCTTGGAATATAGAACTGAAGAAAAGATAACTTCTCTCTGAATTTCTCTAATATGATCTGTGTGGTTCTTTTTAAATAATACTTGTGCTTTAGTGTTAATGTGAAGAAAGTGAATTTCCTAGGCTCTGCAGTCAATATTTTTAACCCCAAAATAGAAAAGGCACAGTTCAGTGGGGGCGAATTTGAATTGATTTGACACAAGTGTGATAACAGTTTGAAATATGTGTGTATGCTCACTTCAGTTTCCAAATTTGGGCTTTTAAACTTATTGTCACTCTCAGAAAGAAATCAGAAGCTGTGCAGATAATTAAATATTTGCCTCAGGGAATTATTTGCAGTTAATTAAAACCATACACTCTGGGTGCATACCTGCTTCACTGGTTATTAAATTTGAATCAGATGTTAACTACCCAGATTCCTCACTTATCCATCAAAAGTTGCTTTTGGCAGGCTCAAGTAATAAACTTTACAGCGTTTGTTGTTAAAGTTATTAACCTGTCATTAAAGTTATTGCACAATTTTCAGTGGGCTCTTTTGGACTGAAGACCCCATGCATTTCCACATATCTGTTTTTCCTGGTTTATCCAATAAGTCTGACAGCACAGACTTCGCTTACTGAAATATATACTGTTATAGTCATATCCCTTGGGATCCCTTGAGGGATCTGTTGGAGTCCAGGATTTTGGTCACTCTCTCCTCCCTGGGCCTCCCTTTCCTAAAGTACAATTCAAAGGGCCTCTGGTTCTGCTGCCTCCCAGTGCCTCATGGCAGGCCTTTGAAAGCTTCAGGGCCAGATAATTATTTTCAACCTTGCATCAATACCTAAATCAGGGGGAATAGATGACCAAAAGGTGATCTGATAAGGGTGGATAGGGTATGTGAGTCAAAGAGGTTTCTTGGGAACCAGAGATCAAATTGGGAGAAAGAAGAGTTGGAGTCACCATAGCCAAGAGCCGAACTATAAGTTCAAAAAGAAGTATAGTCCAGTGGAAAGGCTGTTAGACTTATGTCCGAAAACATGGATTCTAAGCCTGGCTCTAATATATGTGAGACCTTGAGCAAGAGTGAACTTGATTTCTTTTTTTTTTTAACATAAATTTATTTATTTTTAGTTTTCAATATTTATTTCCACAAGATTTCAAGTTCCAAATTTTCACCCTATCTCACCCCTCCCCCCACCCCAAGATGGCATGCATTCTGAATATCCCTTCCCATAGTCTGTCCTCTATCCTATCTCTCCCCCTCTTCTCTTATCCCCTTCCCCTTCTATTTTCCCGTAGGGCAGGATAGACTTCTGTACCCCATTTCCTGTATTTCTTATTTCCCAGTAGCATGTGAAAGCATTTTTTTTAAACATATGTTTTAAAAACTTTAGGTTTCAAATTTTCTCCCTTCCTCCCTCCTCACCCACCCTCATTGAAAAGGAAAGCAACTCAATATAGGTTATACACGTGCAGTTATGCAAAACACTTCCATAGTAGACATGTTGTGAAAAATTAACTCTATTTCCCTTAATCCTATCCTGCCCTCCCATTTATTCTATTCTTTCTTTTGACCCTGTCCCTCCTCAGAAGTATTTACTTCTGATTAACCCCTTTCCCAATCTGCCCTCCTCTCTATCATCCCCCTGCTCTCTTGTCCTCTTCTCCCCCTATTTTCCTGTAGGGTAAGACAGATTTCCATACCCAATTGAACATGTATGTTATTCCCTCTGTAAGCCAAATCCTATGAGAATAAGATTCACTCATTCCCTCTCACCTTCCCCTGTTTACCCTCCACTGTAAGAGACTTTTCTTTATCCATTCTACCTCTCCCTTTCTTCTTCTCTGAGTATAATCCTATCTCATCCCTAATTTTATTCTCCAGATATGACCCCTTCATCTTCAACTCACCCTGTGCCCTCTATCTATCTATCTAGCTAGCTAGCTAGCTATCCATACATACATATAATGTTTTTCCTCCAACTACCCTAATACAGACAAAGGTCTCATGAGTTATAAATATCATCTTTCCATGCAGGGATATAAACAGTTCAACCTTAATAAGTCTCTTATGGTTTTTCTTTCCTGTTTACCTCTTCATGTTCCACTTGAATCTTGTATTTGAAAGGCAAATTTTCTATTCAGCTCTGGTCTTTTCATCAAGAATGCTTGAAAGTCCTCTATTTCATTGAATAGCCATTTTTTCCCCTGAAGGATTATGCTCAGTTTTGCTGGGTAGGTGATTCTTGGTTGTAATCCTATCTCCTTTGCCCTCCAGAATATTATGCCCTGTGGTCCTTTAATGTAGAAGCTGCTAAATCTTGTGTTATCCTGATTGTGTTTCCACAGTACTTGAATTGTTTCTTTCTGGCAGCTTGTAATATTTTCTTCTTGACCTGGGAACTCTGGAATTTGGCTACAATATTCCTAGGAGTTTAACTTTGGGGATCTCTTTCAGGAGGAGATCTGTGGATTATTTCAATTTCTATTTTGCCCTCTGGTTTTAATATATCAGGGCAGTTTTCCTTGATGATTTCTTCAAAGATGATGTCTAGGCTGTTTTTTTCATCATGGCTTTCAGATAGTCCAATAATTTTTAAATTCTCTCTCCTGGATCTATTTTCCAGGTCAGTTGTTTTTCCGATGAGATATTTCACATTGTCTTCTAATTTTTCATTCTTTTAAATTTGTTTTACAGTGTCTTGATTTCTCATAAAGTCACTAGCTTCCAATTGCTCTATTCTGATTTTTAAGGAAGTATTTTCTTCAGTAATCTTTTGGACTTCCTTTTCCATTTAGCCAATTTTTCTTTTTAGGGCATTCTTCTCCTCATTGGCTTTTTGGACCTCTTTTGCCATTTGGGTTAGGCTATTTTTTAAGGTGTTATTTTCTTCAGTATTTTTTTGGGTCTCCTTTAGTAAGCTGTTGACTTGTTTTGCATGATTTTCTTGTATCACTCTCATTTCTCTTCCCAGTTTTTCTTTTCTCTTTTTTTTTGGCTAGGCGATGGGATTAAGTGACTTGCCCAGCTAGTAAGTGTTATGTGTCTGAGGCCAGATTTGAACTCAGGTCCTCCCAAATCCAGGGCTGGTGCTCTATCCACTGCACCACCTAGTTGCCCTCTTACTTGCTTCTCAAATCCCTTTTGAGCTCTTCCAAGGCCTGAGACTGATTCATAGTTTTCTTGGAGGCTTTGGATATAGGAGCTTTGACTTGGTTGTCTTCTTCTGATGGTGTATTTTGATCTTCTTTGTCACCAAAGTAAGATAATATAGTCTGACTCTTTTTGCACTGCTTGCTCATGATCCTGGCCAATTACTTGAGTTTTAAACTCTTTGATAAGGTAAGAGTCTGCTTCCAATGTGGAGAATGTACTGTCCTAAGCTTCAGGGGATTTGAACAGCTGTTTTCAGAGATACTTGTAGGGACCTGGAAATTTTCACTTCTTCCAAGGTGTTATGATAAGGAGTGAGGTGTTTACTCCTCTCTTGGCCTGTGCTCTGGTCTGTTAGTGACCACAAGTACTCCTTTCTGTCCTGTAACTGTAAGGGGGTTTTCTTTCCACAGCCATTACAAGCTCCACCATGCCAGTGCTCCTCTTCACCCCAGGACCACCGCCCAGAACTGCGACCCACATCCAAGCACGGGCAAAACAAGAGATTTCTGCGTCAGCACTGGCAAAGAGATCCCTGCAGTCCCCTGCTGATCAGCCACTCGATTTCCCCTCAGTATGTGGGCCAGAAGCTCAGGAGACAGGTGCCCGGACCAGGGCCGTGCTTTTGGGGAACTGGACCTGAGACCCCGCCTTCCTATCTCAGCACCACAGAAACAGACTTTTTCCACTGACCTTTTAAGTTTTCTTTGGCATTTGTGGATTGAGGAGTCTGGAAACCTCCTCAGCTGCCAGATATTCAGTCCTCTGAGGTCTGCTCCAGGTTTGCTGCAGCCTGTGTGCCCACGCCACGCTGCGCTGCGCTCCAAGCCTTGTATAATACACCTTCCTGATCAATAATTCAGGTTGTCTTAGGCTGGAGATTTGTTTCACTCTGTCTTTTTGTGGGTTCTGCTGCTTTAGAATTTGTTTAAAGCCATTTTTTAATAGGTATTTGGAGGGGCTTAGGGGAGAGCTCAAGCAAATCCTGCTTTCACTCCACCATCTTGGCTCCGCCCTCCTCCAACTTGATTCCTTACTCTACAAAATAGGGACTACACTAGATAATTACAAAGTGTTCTTTTATCTCTAAATTCTATCATCTCTTAAAGCCCTGGGTTCAATTTCTAATTCTTCCACTTACTAGTTGTGTGACCTAGAGCAAGCCACTCTGAACCTCCTTTTTCCTTATCTGTAAAATGGGGATAAGAATATTCTAACCACCCACCTCACAGAGGACATTGTGAGAAAATCACTGTAAACTTTGAAGTGCCATGTAGATGCTGGTTATCATTATCTGATGATCAAAGTAGCTCCTAGAGAACATAGCCTTTTTGTGTCTTTCGGAAGAAATTCTTAGACATTCGTATCCTTGGGGTGATAATTTACACTGAGAGTCCCATCCCATCTCTCCTGCTCCCTGGCATTCTTCTTAGCACCTAATACTAGGCATCGTGGAATCCTCAGATGAGGAATGCTTAGATGGTGGTGTGGATGATTGATTAAAGAGTGTGTGACTGAAGGTAGAAAGTATTTCAGGTTTTTACAAGAATAAAAAATATTAACCCCCAAAAATGTGTCTCATGTGGTAAATGGTGTCAGAAGCTGTTATATTTATTTCTTAGTAAAAATACCATTTAAGGATTGTTTTGTTTTGTTTTGCTTATTGTATCAGATTCTACCACAGATACCAGTGTTATACAAGAGGATGACATCGCCCATGGCTCAGTGCACGACCAAGATTCTGCTGAAGGTATATGGTCATCCTTTGTTACGCGTTTAGAGTTTTGCTACATAGGCACAGGCTACTAATTAGTCAATGTAATTACCTCAAAGCCCCAAATCCACCTTTGGAGGAGAAAGTGAGCTATATTACAATGGAAATAGAGTTAAAGCCTCACAGCAGAAATGAATAGCTGGGTGATCATGAGCAAGTCACCTCACTTAAAGCCTCGATTCCATCATCTATAGAATAGGTTTAATAGTCATTATATTAAGTATCTCACCAGATTATTGTGAGGAAATCTGCAATTTTTCCTGGCCTGAAAAAAACCACAGTTTCTAATACTCTATGGAATATAAAACTAGACTTGTAGAATGGTTGCTAAAGTTAAATATAGTCAATTCAGAGGGTAAATTGAGGATTATCACTAGAAAATATTTCATCCCAGCCTGGTTTCTTTAGCACAGTTCTCATTGGAGTGTGTATGCTCAGGGAATACAAATTAATTATAGCTTCATCTGAGCCAAATATAATTAGGAAAGTAAATCTGCTGTAGAGATAATCATATTACACATTTCAAAGCCAAATGATTTTTGGATTATCTGTTCTACTGCTATCCATTAAGATGGATAATTGAGAGTTCACTATAAGCACAAAGCTCAAAAGTTCATTAAAAAAAAACAACATGGTTTTATGTATAGTAGGAGAGAGGCAAGGAAGGTTTGAGTTTGAGCACACATACACACTACTTTCCATTACTGTAAAAAAAAAAATTAAACCTGCAGGCCAATCTGTTAGTGAAAGGTAGAAGTGCTGTAGGTCCTCTGATAATGACAACTGGATGAAAGGTAAGAAAAACATACACACTAACAGAGCTCCTCTTTTTAAGGATGAATTCTGAATACTGGGTCACTTCTTAGGCAGAACAATCAGTCAATCACTAAGTCAACTAACATTTACTAAACTCTTATTATGTACCAAGCACTGTGCTAAGTGTTAGGAATACAATCACAAGGAAAAAGACAGCCCTTGCTCTCAAGAAACCTTCCATTCTAATAGAGAAGACAATACATAAGAGAAAGACGAAAAAATAGAAAGTGGGACAGGGAGAAAGGCTTCAGATGAAAAGCAGGGGAATGGTCGAGGAGGTCCAGAGTACATTCCAAAGAGGAATGAGACCTGGCTAGCCTGAGCAACTTCTTTAAAAGGAGGTTCTGGGAGAGGCCAATCAAAGAGAGAGGCTGAAGGGGGGCAGTCCTTCCAGTGTGTGAATTCCAGGGCTGGAGTGAGACTTCAGGATGAAGAGCTGGGTCTTATGAAATCCCTCGATTTATATGTCTTTTCATATCAGTCACACATGGGGGCTGGAGTATTGATGGGTCTAAGCTCCCTATGATGATACTTTTAAGGAAATAGGGACATTAATTCTGGAGAAGAGACAACTTAAGGGTGAGTGAGAATGATAACAATAGATGTCTAGGAGAGTCCTGCTTGCCTAATAGATGCTTTCAAAATGTTTGAAAGGCTATTGTGTGGAAGAAAATTAGACTTGCTCTGTTTGGCTCAAGATGATAGAACTGGGACCAATGAATTGAAGTTTCAGAGAAGCAAATTTTGGCTTAATGTAAAGCAAACTATCTAACAATTAAAGCCATCTAAAAGTGGAATTGGCTCCATTGGGAGGGGTGACTCTCCTTTCATTAGAGATTGCTATGCAGAAGTGGGATGACCATTGTCAGGAGCATTCCAGGGAGGAGTTATGGATTCTCAATGGTTTCTAAGGTGTCTTCATTCTCAGAGATTCTATAATTGTATCCCAACCTTTTAGGACAGGTAGACATCTACCCTTAGACTTCTTTGTCTGTAATACTCTCTCTTGGTAATCCTTTTAACTCCTCTACCCCCATTAATATTTACAATTTCTGTACAAATGACTATAAAATTTTCTATCTCTAGTCTTTACATGCATTCTGAGCTCCTGCATTTTGAACTGTTTCCAGAACAACTTTATGTGGATCTCCTACCAACACTTGAAACTCAGTATGTCCCAAGCTGAGCTCATTAATTTTCTGTCTTGCAAGATTCTTCCTGGCTTTTGTCTCCTCTATCAAAAACCTGAAGTGGCAGTGGTTACTGCCCCAGGAGGTTCCCATCACTTCCACCATGGCAGCCAGCACCTTCCTGGTAGTGAGAATCAGATAATATAGAATTATATTACTCCATTATGAACAAATTAAATATTTAGTAAGAATTACTCTATCATTCACTTTCTTTCCTGTAACTGAGCTTCAGGTATGGTGAGAATGAAACTTTTAATGTTGGTGTTAGAGAAGGAATAACTTAGAATCATGGACAGTATCACTGAGTATGGGTGGGAACAGCTACTGCACTGTGTAGGGGTCATGGAAATGGGCAGTCTGAGGGCAGTAAAACAAATCTTGTCTCCCTTGTAGTTTTCTTAGGACCTTCAAGCATCTTACATCAGCTGAGATTTTCAGCTTCTTTTGTCACAAAATGTGTTCCTTACTGCAGAATAAATGGTTTCAACTTTCATCCCCTCAGGATTGAAACAATCTATACACACAGCAAGAGGGACATGGCTAATCTTCCAACTACATCATCCACCTCAGAAAAAGTGTTCTTTCATTGATTTCACTTGTGATCATTGCTACAGTAAACATAATTAATATGTACATAGCAAATGTAAATATATATAATAAATTACTTATTATAGAGCATATGTAAATTACATATACTTTGAGGCTGGCAAAGTGCTTCACATATATTATCTCATTTAATCCTTACAACAACCTTGTGGAGTAGGTGCTAGTAGTATGTATGTTTTACGGACTAGTAAACTTGATTAGTAACAGATGAATAAAGATTTAGGGTAGTAAAGTGACTTGTCCAGGGTCTCTCAGCTTAGATGAGGTAGGATTTAAACTCAGGTCTTCCTGAGCCCATTTCTAGTGCTTTAAGTCCTCAGCTATATGGGTACCTTAACACAAGGATCAAGTTCTTATTTGTGTGTGTTGTGCTGGACCATTAGACTCAATACCACTCAAGTTTCTTTTGCAAAGTTGATCTGGGGATGGTAGCACAAGTGGATTTTTGGAAAGGAAAAGCCTATGGGATAGATATTAGGAGCCTATACTTTATAAATAATTCACCTCTCTATAATACTTTATAGTTTACAAAGGATTTTCCTACCAATAACCTAGTATTGTTATCACCACTTTACAGATGAGGAAATTAAAATTTTAGGAGGTTAAATGACTTGACCATGGCCATATACCTAGAAAATTAGGTAACTGAAAATTAATGAAGGTTTTTCTGACTTTAAGGCCAGGGTTCTTTTCCACTATAGCACAAATATATCATAGAAGGTTGAATGGAACTAGAAATTAGATATTCATCTTCATCCAATCCAAATTTGAATTTCATTAAAATAACAAAACCTCCTGAATATGGAAGAAGCAAAGTAGAAAAATGAAACAATTTCAAAGATAATGCATGCCAAAAGAAGTAGCTTTGCCTGAATTACCTGGATATTTCCCAAGACAATTCTTCCTTCCATCAGCTCAGATAATTCAGGATTGATAAAACATTTGGCCATTTTTCAAAAATTACCTTTTTTATCTTCAATTATACTCAAAATCTGTGGCCTGTTTCACAGGATATGACTAGAACTTGGTCTCTGGCTATTTTTTTTTCTTTTCCATGATAAGGATAAGGTTACAAATATCACATTTCCTTTATTTTCAATCTCTGCTCTTAACAGGACGTGATGATGACTCAATGAAGAATGAAATGAAAATGGAGATCGAATCCCAGAGCTCATACATGGAAACAGAAGGTACTGAACCCAGAATATGTGGTGACTGTTGAATGAGATAAATCTGTGAACCGTAACTTCTCTACTTCTTAAGTTTTTTTAGAATAGTATTGGCTAGGAAATGGAGTTGTGCTTCAGTGTGTCTTTTGAAACTTGTAAAAGATAAGTCAGAATTCTCAGGTTGGAGCCTCAGTTCTCAATGATCCTCATTCATTCATTATCTTCTCATCTCATTCTATTCAGAACCTTTCTCAAACCAAGAAGATGCCCCAGTTGTTCCGAAACCTGAAGTTACTGCAGCCACTGATGGCAAAGAAGAAAAGGAAAATGAAAAAGGTAACCATGCTCTCAAAGCTAAGGCTTCAAATGTTTGGGTGGACTTCTTTTTTATTCTTGTTGGGATTTCAAGCATCAAAGCTATTGTCTCATGCTTTGTGGTTGTGATCAGAAAACTCAAATATTTTTCTAACCCTGCAACAATTTTCAGAAGTGGATTAAAACCCAGAAGTAGCACAAGAAGGTAATTTTTAAAGTATTTTTTCCAGGTGGCGTGAAGATGTTATTGCGCATTTGGATTCAATCCAATTTTTAAAATGATACCATTGAGAGTGCATATAAGAAGTGGAAATTATGTAGTGGAGAAAAAGTAAGGCAGAGAAAATTCAGAAATGGCTTTAAAACAAATACATTAACCTTTTCATATCGATTTTATACTGTCTGCCTCCATACCATGCTGATTAAAGGAGCAATTTATGGAAAATATGCACATTATGTGAACCTTTTAAATTGTAACTTTCTTCTCCTCAATATTGCAAAACCATAATATTGACTACTGTTGAAGTAAGTGAACCTGAAAATGGCTTCTGAAGACATAGAAAGGATGAACACATTTTAACAAACAATCTTAAAACGGCAGTTAAAGAAGCCAATATTTGAATTGAAGATAAAAATTCATAGTCTCCAATGATTTGTTTTACTAAATAATCTCTGAGGAATTGAGTATTTACTGCTCCTTTTGCCAAATTGAAAACTCTCTTTTCCAAAATTTAAAACAACTGCTTGAAAAAAATCTATGATCTCATCCTTGCCATTACATTTAAGTTAACACTTAATTGCAAAGCACATGCAAAATAGTAACATGATGGGTCTCCTCTTAGCAACACAAAGATCAATATGGGCTGCAAATTAAAACCCAGACATAATCTCTATTGTACATCAATGTCAATACTATCTACAGCTTCTTAATGATGAGCCCTTTTTGACAGCTCCATTGATGCTAATTTAATTGCTAAACCATGTTAGTAATATTGGCACTTTTTCCACTGTATATCCAGGTTAATAGCACAAACTTCCTGCCTTGCACACACACAGGGTAATAGCATTCTACCTACAGCAAATCCCAGTTGAGACTAATTGCCAGTCATGTTCCTAACATTGGTGGTATATTTTATTACTGACAAAGATAATTGAATTGATGTAACCCTTTCTTCTAGTCCAGGTAAATTATATTGCTTGTTTGTTTCAATTGCCTACCTATACTGTGAAATACGGATGTATAGCCATTGGAAATGACATGCCTGTTTGGTTAATTTTACATTCCTAGTAATTATTTACATTTTATATTGTGCCTTATGCAAAGTAAATGGACAAAATATACTTCAAACTATTTATACATGTAACTGTATAACTTTACTGTCCCCTATAGGCAGATACTTCCATTTAGCACATTCTGATAATTATATTTCACCATCTGTCCTTCCTACTCTTAGAATTCTTGGTTATCCTGGGGCTAGGATTCTATGTGGATTATCCAATTCCATTATTTCTCTTCTTCTATATTTTCAGCATTTTACTACTTTTCAGCAGATGATAGTACCAAGCAGAAAGGGGAGGGTGTGAACAGATCAATATAGTTTTCTACTTGCTAACAACTAAAATAAAAGGTTAACTAATTTGATTTTTTTTATGATGGGTGAGCAAAAATCTATGATTTTCAACTCGTTATATTTTCTCCTTTCTTTTATTAGGTCTAGCATTAGAATTAGTGTTAACATTTGTTTTCAGTTAGGGAAGGGCTAGTTTTCAGGTAAGGGTTGAAGTTGGAGTTAGGTTTAAAGGTAGGGTCATAATTATAGTTAGGGTAGTATTGCAGGTCATGTTAGAATTAGAGGTAGGATTACAGTTGAGGATAGGGTTAAAGTTAAGGTTAAGGTTTATGTTACATCTGTCTTTACCTTTTACCCTGGTTACTTTATTTGTTGTTGTCAAATCTGGTTTAAATATGACTATTTTCTTTGAATAGATAAAATAAGCAATAAAAGGTCCCAGTAAACTATAGCTTCAAATCTCTATCTCCATCCCATCTCCCGATCAATTAATTAAGTAATAGAGCTTCATCAATAAGCTATATAATTCTCCATTCAGAGGTTCATAGATTTACAGCTGGAAGATATCTTTAGAAGTAGGTGTTAATCTTTAGGTCCAGATAGGATTATAGATTTAGAGCTAGCTGGAAACTCCGAGGTCACTGAGCCCAACACCCTTGTTTTATAGAGATATTTAGTGACTTACCCAGGGTCATGTTGCTAGGTATCTCAGGTAACATTTGAACCCTGGACCTCCTGACTCTAATTCAAGTGGCTGTTTCTTGTCCTCACAATGGATCTTAAAATTTTGAAGGAAGTGCACATGGGAGGCAAACTCACACACAAAAAATGAAACAGAAGAGTTTTTTTTAATCCATGAAGTTCATCATTGTCCATGACTGCCTCTGGAAAAAAAAAGGGGGGGGCATCTGGGTGGCGCAGGGAATAGAGCACCACCAGGAAGATTTTAATTCAAATCCTTCCTCAGATACAAGCTGTGACCCTGAGCAAGTCACTTAACCTAGTTCTGCCTCAATTTTTTCATCTGTAATATGGGAAGAATAATAATCTATAAAATGGGGTACTACCTACCTTCCAGAGTTGTCATAAGGATAAAAGAAGATAGCTATAGACACTTTGCAAACCTTAATGCAACATTAAAATGCTAGCTATTATTAATAATAAAACCTGGGCAAATGACTTAACTTTTCTGGACCTGTTTCCTCATCTCTAAAATGAAGAAATTAAACTCAGTGACCTCTAGTGTTCTCTCTGAAGGCTAAATCTATGATCCTATGATTGGAACCTCTGCACCAAGTTTGAAAAAAGGCCCGGCTTAAAATATTTTTTTATCCAATAGATGATTTCATCCTTATAGGGAATTCCCAGAATAGAAACTCCCTCCATTGATGCAGATCATCAACATTTCTGTAGCTTCTAATCTTAACTACTTGTCTGAGGCATGGAGACCTTAAGTGACTCATCTGTCATTGTCATTTAGCTGATATTTATCAGAGGCAAGACTGAAACCTAAGCCTTTCTAACTTTAACATTTAACATTTCTAACTTTCTAACTTTAACATTAAGCTCCTACATCCATACACCATTTTGCCTAAGGGTGTGCTAGTTAATTCTTAACATCCAGGATTCTGGGGAAGGGGGGAAGAGGGAAAAGAAAAATACATACTTTTAAGCTGTGTATTTAGGGGTAGTTAGGTGGTTAAGAGGATAGAGCACCTGCCCTGGAATCAGGAGGATCTGAGTTCAAATCTAGCTTCAAATATTTACTAGCTGTATGATTCTTGGCAAGTCACTTACCTTGATTGCCATATCTAGATACACACACACAGACACACACACGTGCACACAGAATACAGGTAGAGATAGATAGATAGAGATAGATAGATAGATAGATAGATAGATAGATAGATAGATAGATAGATGGATGGATGGATGGATGGATGGATGGATGGATAGATAGATAGATAGATGATAGATGGATGGATAGATAGATAGATAGATAGATAGATAGATAGATAGATATGGATATAGATATAGATATAGATCCTATCTGTTCTGGCTAGAAACTCTATGGTTCTTTTCCTCCCAGACTACAAAACGAATGAACCAACAAACCCAGAAGTTATATATATTTAAAAGGAATAACAAGTTGTACATAATAGATTTGCAATTTTATGTGCAATCATCTTTTTTTCTATGCTAATATATTATGGAAATGCTTATTTTATTTAAGTTCAGAATAAAATAAATTTAAAATAAATAAGTTTAATCTGCATTATTTACACTTTATTATATCCAGAGACAATCAACAAAATAATAAATCAAACTCTGATTTGTTGCAATTGCCAGTTTCTGAGGTATAACTGCTCACACTGACAATCTCTCACAAGCTGTTAGAGCTGGCTCCAACATATTCCTGATTCAGTCTCTTGATCTAAAACCTGTTTTCTGTCATTAAAGAAGAGACTGTTGATTTAATTTTAGTTTTATAGAAGAAAAGCAATAGTGAAACTCCCAAATATTGGAGTTATTTTTTGCCTTACTTGGAAGGGCAGTCAGCGATTAAGGATTTTCTGAAAGAAGGTATGAAATATATTTCCTAGTTTTGTGTATGAATACAATGTCTGGTAATAGAAGGTACATGTAAGTATTAAGAACTATCCTTATCTCCAAACAAGAGGAAACATGTATTCTGCTATACCCTTAGATATACTGTATAGTTTGTTTTGAAATGTTAGATCTATTTTGCTCTAAGAGTCTTTCCATGGGAAATAAAATCTGTTCATTTAAATTCCAGACAAGGTAAGAAATTTATAGCCTTCCCTCCAGTTTTGGTGCATTTTAAAAGAACAGAGTGTGCAGATAATCTTCCAGGCCCATCTTCTATCACTCCCAGGTCTATCCACACAGATGCTACAACATTAAGTCTGAAAGTTAGTTATACCACAAGATAGATCTTGAAAAGAAGAAGGAAATATGCAGCACTAAGTCATGCTGATAAAGTCACACAGTAGCACAATGAGAAAATCCCTGGGAGACTTGAATGGAAACAAGTCAAACTGGCATAAAGTCTGTTTTTCAAATATAGCCATTGTCCTCATATAGCCGAAGGTCCTCCTTGTAAACTAATCAAGTTAAAGTTTGTCCCATCAGAACCTACAGTACGTTGGAAAAGAGTAGATTAGTGTAATTGAGGTTAATAATAGAAAGAGAATAAAAAGGAAACTTTATTTTGTTTTTGCTTTTCTTTTTTTTAGGCAATTGGGGTTAAGTGACTTGCCCAGGGTCACACAGCTAGTAAATGTCAAGTGTTTGGTCTAAGGCCAGATTTGAACTCAAGTCCTCCTGACTTCAGGGCCAGTGCTCTATCCACTGCACCACCTAGCTGCCCCAAAAAGGCAACTTTAAAATGAAATTATCTCAGATTTTTTCTTGATAACTTTTATTTTT